ATCTATCTATCTATCTATCTATCTATCTATCTATCTATCTATCTCTTTTATGAATCTATGGATATCTTATCATCCATCTATCCATCTATCTATCTCTTCTATGAATCTATGTATCAATCTTTATTATTATCTATCTATGATCCATCCATCCATCCACCCATCCCTCTACCTACCTACCTACCTACCCACCTATCCATCTATGAATCTATCATCTATTTATCCATCTATTGATCAATATCCATCCATCCATCTATCACCAGTCTATCCATCTCTACATCTCTCTCCCTCTCCATCCATCAATCCATTCATCCAATTATCCCTCCCTCAATCCATCTCTATCAGGGCGATCGAGGGTGGATTCTGAGGCTCTTTTAAACTAGCAGGGTCCTTGAGGTCCTCTACTCTGCTTAGGTAGGACAAGGCATCCGCTAAAGCTGTGTCCCTTAACCTTAGCAACGTTAGAGGTCAGTGGGCTTCAAACTCCGAGGATTCTCCATCCGGACCGGCATTCAACTCCGCCCCCCTCCAAGGTTTAAAGAGACATACACACCGGTGCAAAGGAGGGCCATGATGCACGACCTCTTGGCCTGGTCAACGTCCCCTGCGCCTAAGGCATTCCCCACGCGGACACTGGAGGCCACGCTCATCCCTTGTGGCAGCTGAGAAAAAGCTCGTGTGAGTGAAGTCCTTGGTTTGGAGAGATTCTCTTGGTGCAAACCCAACCAGGGTTAACCCCCTCACCCAGGGGTCTCCAAACTTGGCAACTTTTAAGACTTGTGGATGTCAACTCATTAAAATATTTCTATGGTCTTTTTTAGAGTTGCCAACAGAAAGAGAGGGAGGAGCTGCTGCAGCAGCTGGCAAAACCAAAACTGCATTCCATAAATGTTTTCAAAGATAGTAACCAGGTGACTGAAGTTTCTGCCGTGCAAAATTCTAACTGGAGAGCGTGATTGGTGACTCTGGGCTATGGATGTGTCCCATTGGAGAATATGAATTACGATACACCCAGAGGGGTGGGGGAAAACCAGGGTCAAGGGTGACAATAATGATGTGCCTCAGAGTTGGCTGCACCCAGGTAGTTTACTCCCAATAAATCCTTTTGAAGTTTTGGAAGTTTGGCTTCAATGGGGGTAACTGCCGGAATTCTGACAGTGGACTTCAACTCCCAGAATTCTCCAGCCAGCTATGCAGAATTCTGGGAGTTGAAGTCCACAAGTCTTAAAGTTTGGAGACCTCTGCCCTAACCCAACCAAAGGCATACTTTAGTTTCTCAAACTTTTGATGTCACAACCGCACCGATTCCCTTATAAGAACTAAGGCAAGAAAGGTCGCAAAATGGGACAGAACTCACTTAACAACTGCCTCGCTTAGCAACAGAAGTGTTGGGCTCAATTGGTGTTCGTGAGTCGAGTCCCACCTGCATTTTGTCCTCTTTGCAGCTTCTCATTCAAGGGCACAGGGGCGAGGAGTTCCAAAAATGATAAAGTACCAAACAATATTTTCCGTAAGGAATAATGCACAGACAGTCCTCAATTTATGACAAGTTTGCTTAGTGACCGTTTGAAGTTACAACAGCACTAAAAATAATTTGTGGCCATTTTTCACCCCTACGACCGTTTACAGTATCCCCCATTGGTCACGTGATTGAAATTCGGATGCAACTGACTCATATTTACGACGGTTTGCGGTCTCCCGGGGTCACGTGATCCCCTTTTGCGACCTTCCGACAAGCAAAATCGAGGGGGAAAACCAGATTCACTTAACAACCGGGTTATTGGTTTAGCAACTGCAGCGATTCACTTAACAACCATGATAAGAACGGTCACAAAATGGGGACAAAACTCACTTAGCAACCGCCTTGCTTAGCAACATTACTTTTGGGCTCAATTGTGGTCGTAAGCTGAGGCTTGCCCGTACCGAATTCGACAAGTTTCGAAAGCCGTTGAGTATCAAGATAACACTGTAAATCTTTACTTTCTATGAATTTTTTTTAACCTCAGTAACGACTAGCTGAGCTTTGCTGTCGCAGGAAACCTGCTGCCCCAGTTTGCCCCATTAGCCTTCAGATGCAAATGAGAAATTTTCCATTTTAAGTAATGTTTCCTGTGTCAGGATTCCGGCAGTTTCCCCCCTTTTTAAATCATGAGCCTCGAGCCAAACTTCCAAAACTTCAAAAGGATTTATTGAGAGTTAACATGTCAGCACTGCCTGGGTGTAGCCGACTCTGAGACACGTAATTCACTGTCACCCTTGACCCTGGTTTCCCCCCACCCCTCTGGGTGTATTCATATTCTCCAATGGGACACCTCCATAGCCCAGAGTCATCCATCATGCTCTCCCGTTAGATATTCGCCTGGCAGAAACTTCAGTCACCTAGTTATTATCTTTGAAAAACTATTTATGGAATGCACTTTCGATTTCCAAGCTGCCGCACTGCTCTTTGAAACCCCTTTCCCCCCCCCTTCCCTTTCTGTTGGCAACTCGAAAAAGGCCATGGGAAATATTTTATGAGTTGACATCCTGCTTCTCACAGCCTCCCATGGGTGTTCATTCTTTCTTCTTCCCCGCCTTCTGAATTGAGCAAATTCTTACCAAGTACGCGATGGTCGACAGTTCGTAGATGATGGACTGAGCACCTAATTCCACTGTACTCATTAACCCTGAGAGGAGAGAAAACGTGGTTGGGATTCAGAAGTGTTACACAAAACAGTGAGACAAGCGGCATATGAATTGAATGGTAATACCTCTGCTTCCCCAAAAATAAGACCGGGTCTTATGTTTTCTTGGGCCCCAAAATCAGGCATGATATTCCCCTCTGAAAAAAAAATCGGGGCCGGCCAAAAGAGACCCCCCGCCGCGCACCAAGAAATCGCACACACAACACCAACGCTACACA